TGATATGCTTCCGCATCTGCTATGCTATGCTATGATATGCTATGCTATGCTATGATATGCTATGCTTCCGCGCGCTCCGCATCCGCATCTGCGCATGCGTTCCAAATCCGCGATCTCCGCATCCGCATCCGTGCATGCACTGCCCAGAATCGCGCGCGTGCGTCAACTGAGAAACAAAAAAGTTGAAGAGCGCAACTGAAGCAATGGTACAACCGTGCGCATCCACCTCAGACCATAGGTCTCTAATATAACATCTCATCCGAAGGTTGGACATCTCATCCAAAGGTTTCGGATCGCCTCATCCGCGTTCGCTATCAAATGGATAAATAAAAAAAAAATTATTTCTCCACGCCATGCCAACGACTAACGCAAGACTACATCACCGATCTACTCTCGACACGATGCGGTACCCTTTTCGACTTGGCTCCCACATCGTCTAGAGAGTGGGGGGCTTGCGAGAAAACTCCCACGAGGAGCCAACTCGCTCGGAACTACTACCCACAGCGGGACAACTCCCACGAGGAGACCACTCGCTCCGTCATATAACCTGTTGCAAGGCAACTCCCACGAGGAGCCAACTCCTTCGGGTCTCAAAACCACAGCGAGATAACTCCCACGAGGAGACCACTCGCTCCGTACTACAACCCGCAGCGAGACAACTCCCACGAGGAGCTAACTCGCTCGGTACTACGAACCCGCAGCGAGACAACTCCCACGAGGAGCCAACTCGCTCGGTACCCCAACCCGCAGCGGGACAACTCCCACGAGGAGTCAACTCGCTTGCCACTATAAATCCGTTGCAAGGCAACTCCCACGTGCAGCCACCTCGCTCGATAATAGGACTCGCTGCGAGACAACTCCCACGAGGACATAACTCACTCAGAGCGACCTCAATTCGTACGCTCCTCAATCGCGCGTCATCCAATGCTCCTTCAACTTCGCTGTAAGACAACTCTCTCGAGGAGACAACTCGCTCGCAATTCACTACACAATCGCAAACTCGAGTTAGCACGATTACAACCTTAGAAACACTTTGAGATATTATGGGAATCTATATAGCCTGGCCAGCTTGATTACTCAAATTTCTCTACTTGTTTTCGACGGGTCCTTCATTAAAACGTGGCCACGGTCCAAACATACTTACAACCTACGAGGTCTAACAAGGGGCACGATCCCCATAAAAAAAAATCTTGAGAGCTTTATCCCCTCCTCAACTACATCACGCACAAGGCTATATGTAAACACATACGAGCAACGCGTCGAAAAATTGACAATGTCAATAAATAACAACTCCCACGAGGAGATTACTTGATATGTGCTACTACATTATTGCGAGACAACTCCCACGAGGAGACAACTCGATCAACTCTATTACCCCGCGACGAGACAACTCCCACGAGGAGATAATTCGCTACTACATCGTCGCGGAACAACATCGACGACTCAAGTAACTTTCATCGCGACAACTTGGCCGCGCTACGCGCCAACGCGCCATCACGCCCCTCCGACACACGCTCCAACACGTTTTCGCACACCATCAGGCCATATGCCAAAGAGCGACCACTACAATTTTTACTCTCAACACGATCGAGAACCCATTTCAACATGGCTCCCACATCGACTCGAGAGTGGGGGGCTTAATGATATGCCTAATTGACCCAACCCAATGGGCCTACAAATTATTTATCTACTGGGCCACGAGGCCAATATCGAAGACCACTATCACCGAGGCCCAATCACCTTCAAGTAAGGTTTGAGCCCGACAATCTCAACTAAGCTATAAATAAAGGTTTGAACTCATTCCTTAAGGTACGTCCTATTATCTGAGCAATACTATTAAATGTATTCTCTGAACTATTTCTACTATCAGCACGTCTGACTTGAGCGTCGGAGGGGTTTCCGCCGGATCAACCCCTGACCTAGTTCACGTGTTCTATGATCGCAGGTACCTCAGGATTATCAAGTTATCAAGCTACTGATCCGCTTTGCTCTCCCAGTTCGTTTTCTACACTACCTCAGGTGATCTAAGTAATTAGCATCATCAATATGTATTGGTAGGGGAGGTTTTGTATTTATGTATAGTATCGGGGGTATATGATTCAAAGTCTATAGTACAGGGGTGTTTTTGTATTTAATCCTTTTTATAATTAGCAGGTGTTTCGAAACACAATTAAATAAAATATTGAACTATTAACAAACTCTCTTTGACTCCCAAGCTATCACAATTTAATAAATCAACGAGTTTTGTCTTGTCCGTTAATATTTGATGTTGAATCATTCGAGATGATTAGTTCAAAGGTCGAACTGGATAATTGACTAGGAATGCGGGTTCGAATGCTATGACCGACGAGCTTTGCATTGATCTAAGTATACGATGCTTGTCCGTCTTTCTTGCAAAACCACTTAACACACACTATGTGATACGCCAAAAAATTCCCAAGCTATTACACTAAGACGATTAAGTCAATACTATGTGGATTACACTTCGACACTTAAGTCAAATGATGTCGCTTGTTACTAAAAAGCGATTAAAAGTCAATAAGGATCATGTACCTTAAAATAATAGTTATGTTGAAGATTAAATAGATGAAAACTCCCTACAACTTTTTGCTAATTACTTTTTAAACTACGTCAATATCGAATACGAATTTTGTGGGTCCGATAATCAATAACCGATGAAGTTAACTATGATAGAGAAAAATGAAACGAAAAAGAGTTTGGCAAAAGTGCTTTTGCCGCACATTAAGTTGACGCGTACGTAAGTGTTTACATTCACAATTTGCAAATTCTCCATGCAGCTTTTTGGACTTGGAATTCAAGCTATGGCCTTAATATAACAAATTCTTTTATTCCGTTTAATTCTTATCTTCTCGTCATTGTTTCCATATATATATATATATATATATATACAGGGGCGAGTCCACCCAAGGGCTAGGGTGGACTCAAGCCCCCCCTCACTTCAATTTTTTTTTCTATTATATATATATATATATATATATATATATATATATATATATATATATATATATATATATATATAATACTTTTTTTTTAATTTTTTAGCCTACCCAATTATATTATTTTATCCACTTACTTTTACTCCACTTAAGCCCACTTATTCAACGCCGCCTCACTTCTCAAAGCCCCTCATGTCATCTTTTATTTCCTAACTTCGCTCTCGTTCTTTGAAAAAGAAAAAAAAAAAAATACTTCGTTCTATTGCATAATCGTACTAATGGCGGTTAAATTGCTATCTCGCAGCAATCAATTAATGTTTGACGTCTTTTCTTTCATCTTAATTTTCATAATAAATATTAATTAAAAGTCCATTGTGTAAATTTCATAATCGACTTGATATTCATGTTTCTTAGATTTTTATAGCTATTTAACTTTCGCGATTCACTTTGGTATTATCTTCTAAAAATGGAAGGAAAAAAAAATTCATATCAAATTTCCATCTTAAATTTCTTTGATAGCAAAAAAATTTTCGGGGGCTCTGCCCCCGAACCCCCAATACGTTTAAGCCCCCCCTCACAAATGATTCTGGCCTCGCCACTGTATATATATATATATATATATATATATATATATATTGGCGAATTCAGAATTTTTGTCAAGGATGTTCGGAACTAAATATAAAAAAAATCAAGGATTGAGTAAAAGTTTACGGGGGTTCAGGGGCAGCGCCTCCGATTTGTTTTTAAGGATTATAGACATTAAATAATAAAAATATGTAAAAAGATTATTTTATAAATTTTAGGGTAATTTAGAAAATATTTAGACATAAAATTCGTGAAAATATTAAATGAGTGGTAAATAAATTAAAGTAAAAAGTAGCATAATGTGTATTTCATTAGCGGATATTGAATTTTCGAATTATAAAAAATACCTATAGTTGGAAATTTAGAGAATAATTGAAATAATACATATATATATATATATATATATATATATATATATATATATATATATATAAAACATTAAGAGTTTTGGAATAATTTAGATTATATTTAAAGAGAAAATTGGAGAAAATATCAAGGTTGTAAAAATCGGTAATCGGGTCCGAGTCGGTCAGGCACCGACTCACGATTAATCGGTGCGGCGGTGATTAATCGGTGATAAATCGGAAGTAAATCGGTTTTTAAAATTTAATATAATATATTTCTAAATATTATTTATAAATACTCCAAACATATGTAAAAAAATATTTAAACATAGTTATATCTCCATCATGTAAATATCCTAATAACATAGTAAAAGTTTAATAATTATAAGATCATAATACATAAATATCCTTATAAAATATAAATAAGAAAACAATTTTTTTGAATTTACATTTATTCTTGAACATTCGTGGCATACATCATTAGTTCTTTAACAATAACAATTAACATAAACAAAATAAGGCATAAACTCATATTTTCTTTTATTAAAATCCAACTTTTATATTGAATTATAAAATAAAAAAATAAAAAAATAAAAAAATAAAAAAATAAAAAAACCGATTTTTAACCGATTTTTCGCCACCGAGTTTGACCCGCCTTAAAGGTTTGACCGCCTCAGACCGACTCAGACCGCCTCAGACCGACTCAGACCGCCTAAAACCGCCTCACAGGCAAAAAACCGATTATTCAAACCTTTACACTAAAATCGTAAAGGTTTTGGATCGCCTCCGCCTCAGAGACCGATTTTTAGAACACTGGAAAATATTAAAGAAATGGTAAATAAATTAAAGTTGCAATTAGCAAAATATATATTTTATTAAACAATTGAAATAGGTGCACGTAGGGACCCGAATAGTGCACCTTTTAGGAATGTGAAGATAACATTACCAATTCAACAACACCATCACATTAAAAATTTACAAATTCACATGTATATATATAGGTAAATATATAGGGAATATTTTTTTTTTAAAACAAAGGATGTGCATATATATATATATATATATATATATATATATACACCCCAACCAAGTGTGACTTATAATCGTGCCCAATATGAATGAAAATATAAACATCTCTCGTCCTTGTACTGCTGGTTCAGCCTCAACAACCAGTTCTGATAATACGCCGTCGTTTACAGATATCCATGTTGACGTGGAACAACCAATTATAACATCCCCTACGATTAATGCAGATTTTGTTGCTACTCCTCTCTCCTCCTACTTCTCTCTTCCTCTATTCCCTCCCACCATTTTATATCCGCCTTCCGGAATCAACCGCCGAAGATTTCGGAGAGTGGCGGGGCTCGTAATTATAACTCTCATCCTAATAACTACTTTGTTGGTTGCGTTATTATTATCGACAAAGAAGAAGAAAGGGAAAACAAATTATAATAGTCTCGACTGCGTGATTAAAATATCGGTTTCTAAGGATTGGATTAATAACAAGTCGAACTTCACTAATGTGTCCGACGCAGTGGAAGCCTCGCCAAACTATAGCCCGTTCAAAGTGTGCATCACAATCGGGGAAGGGGAATACTACGAAATCGTCAAGATTGGTCACGAAAAGATCAATTTGATTTTTATTGGAGAAGGAATCGGGAAGACCGTTATATCTTCAAACGCAAGCAACGTATATGGATCACCGGTAGCTGCAACTCTAAGTAAAGCACTATCTTAATTTATCAACTTGCTCGATCTCTTAACTAATTAGACGTTTAACGACATAATTAATCGATAATTAATATGCATGCAGGTGTATTTGGAGAAGAGTTCTTGGCTCAAGATCTGACGATCAGAAACGAAGCAGTACAATATGGGGTTGCGGTTGAGAACGCAGGAGCAAAATCAATCTTCTTTAGGTGTAAATTTGAAGGAGCTAACGCGACTCTGTATACCAACGGTGAAAAACAATTCTACCGCGATTGCCGCTTTTACGGTGGAACTAATTTGGTGTTCGGATACAGCCGTGCCTTCTTCCAAAAATGCAAGTTTGTCGGCGAGAAATCGCATCCTCGAGATAAGGTTGTATTCTCTAGCCAAACTTCTCGTCTTTCGAATTTTGAGATTGGGTTTGTATTTCACCTTTGTGCGTTCGACGTAGTGGGGAGTTTTGCAAATAGCTCAGAAACAGCCTTCTTAGGTAGTTCGGCGGGGTATTACGCGTTTGTTGTAGTTATGGAATCGTATTTGGATCGATCCGTAGGCGGATACTTTCTTGGTGCTCCCCCAAACACTATGTACTATGTCGTTTTTCGCAACGTAGGAGTTGGTGCAACTAAAGCGAATATACCACAATTTGTGTATGTACTCGAAAGTGTGGAAGCTGCTTCAAAATATTCATTAAGGGAGTTTTTAGATGGAGGTAGTTGGATAGCTAAAGGGGTAGACTACGATTTAGATTTAGTGAAATGACAGCTTTTTTTTCCGAATTTTATTTATTTTTATTTATACTATATTTTTTAAATAACTGAATATGTTGTTACAGTAAAAAGATGAAAACTAGAAGGATAATTTTGTCATTAATGCATCTAATTATAAACATCATAATTTTATTGGATCTCTCAAGTCCAATTAGTTATCTTATCTGCATGATAGTCCATGATAAAATTATTTTAGGGGATCGACCCGGAAATCCTTCCTATTCAATTAATCCTGGCTAATCAGTCCAATCAAACGGGGTCTTAAAGTACAATATTTTACTAAGAAATATGTAGCCGTGTGCACATTAAATTAATTAAAACAAACCAAGAAACTTAGCATAATACAACCAACCAAGCATAGTAAAGATGTTACACTAAATTATGAATGAATTGTTTCAATAAAGAGACAGAAGGAAATAAAGAAAAGAACATAATAGAAAGAATTATTTAGTGGCTAAAAAAATGCACTAAAAGTAACGTAGCTAAACTGTTCATATTATAAAGCTGGATTCTGAATTAATGTGAGAATAATAATCTAATTCGCATCAAAAGTATCTAAGAAGATTAATGTAAGTACTGTTGGATATTTGATTTTTAAATCAAATATATATTAATTGTTTTGATTTTCTTAATTTTCGAATTATTATCATTTTATTATTATTCATTATTCGAATTTATTCTTTAGAGCAAGTGGGGGGTTATTGTTTAGCTTAGTGGATAGTTACCTTAAGCACATGCTTAATTTATTCACTAACCCATATTCCCACTAACTCCCTATCTTCTCTTTGTGTCCTATTTTCGTGCAGGAGATGATGTTCCTGAACTTTATAAATAGGAGAAGATCCAGTTCATTTGTACCAATTTCTGACGAGAATCAAGAGCGCATAGCAGAGAGTGTTGGAACATCGTCTACAACACCTTGTATTCTTTATAGATTTCTCACTACATAATTGAATATGTTTTGTATATAATCCTATTAAATACTAATTTGTATTCCTAGTATATCATCAAGTGCTTTTGTACTAGTTACTAGGAATTAGTTTACGAAGAAATCATCTTAGTTTTTCTTCCTAGAAGAGAAGAGCTTGGCTTCTTATTTGTATTCTTTTGAATACTGGTTTTAGGCTATAAAGGCTCCATCCACAAGTACATTATCCACAGTATAATCAACAGTGCACCATTCGATGATTTAAAAAAAACTCTATAAATAAATAAAATAATCAACAGTTGGGATATGCACAAATTATATAATATGTGTATGAAGACCATCAAAACACCAAGATATCATGCACATATAGCTTAAAACTCTCATTCTCATTCAATGTGTTTTTATTCATTGCAGCACTAAGTTTGGTTTTGAGTTCTTGTACTTGTCTCTCTAATATTGCACTAGACGATGTCTCAGTCTGACGGTTAGTTGGTATATCAATTGACCTCGCCAGGTCTTGTTCTTGTATTTCGTTCCTTTGTTCGACATATTTTATATTACTTTTCAAAACTGTTTCTTCCTCGTTTTTCATAATTTTTCCTCAACATCAACTTTGAGAGTGATTATTTCACCAATGAGAATGACATTTTCACCTTGAAGTGTCTCAATGTAACTTTGCCTCTTTGAGACTTTTTCTTTCATTTTTTTTTGTTTTCAGATTCTAGCCCCTCAATTATGCTTTCAGATTGGGCACTTGTTTTATTTTGAACTGCAAACAAAAACAACAACTACTAATGCATCTAATCCATCATTTTTTTCTGTTTTTGTTGCGATCGGACTCATCAACTGGCACACATCTCCCGGATTTTTATTCTTGATTATCATCAAAATCAGATAAACCGCTCTCCAGCTCATCCACTAACTTTCTTTTCCCCTTCGATTTTGTTTCAACTGGTTTCTTCATTTAAACCGTTTGTTCTTCTTGCTCTTCGCTAGCTTCATTGTCATCCACGTCATCTTCCTCAAGTTGAAATTGTCCCAAAAATTTAATTGCATAACGCTTTTTGAGCCAACGATTTAGCCGAGATCTGTAAAGGGACAATATTATAGTAATTTAGATAGCAAGGACAAAACAATATTGTCATTGATATTGAAATAGTATTGTATTTCATGCATTGGACATTGTTATATAAAAACCTACAATGTTACTGTTTATGACAACATAATTGGACATAAGGGTATGTATGACAGTATGATCATCAACGATAAAGAAATATGCAAGCAATACTGTCCGTAGCAGGCAAGTTCTCATGAATAACCAATGTATGAATATCATCATGCATTTCTTAATAATATAATACACTTAAATGAATTATTACTTTTCATGGCATCATAATTATTAAGTTTGCAAAACAATAAAGACTTTGACCATATCTGGTGCTATATGTGTCATTGAAAGTACATGGGCTTGTTGGCATACTATATGCAAATTTTATTTTCTGTATTTTGGAAACGTTCGGAACACCATTCAAGGAACCAATACGAGAAACAAGGAAACGTAATATGAGTAATAGGAAAAAAACTATTGATCAAAATTTAGATTTTTCATTTACATACCACTAACAAGGAAACATATCAATGTACGGAGTCCACAACATTTTCAGCAGGTTGGTTCTTGGTTTTCCTTTGTGGTTACTTTGCGTACGAAGTTCATGAAGAACTTGACTACCTCTGCTGCCCAGTTGTCGTCGTTGATGCTCTCTAGATCATCCACATATTGGAAGTACGACCACCTAACAGTTTTTCTTGTATTGAAGACGAAGTTCACCATGAGGCTTTTCAATCCCTCTTTCAAGTCGTTGTAAGTGACTTTGTCAAGTTCACCAAAATTTATAGTATAAAAATCTGCTTGTGGCTTGTGGCTTCACTTACCATCGACAATTATCATTTTAGTTGGTCCGTTCGTCAAGACAGAAATAAGTTGACATTTTGTGGTTTTTGATTGCCAACCTCATTTCCCCAATAATAAAAACTTCCTTTTTGGGTTCTTATGTCGATAAAATCCGGTGATCTTTAACAATAGAATGGGTGATTCTTTGATAAAGAACGAGTATGTAAAATTCACCAAATGTTGTTTGCATTTATGAGGGTTTTTTTTATAAATAAATTGGCCTTATATTTTGGCTTACAACCCAACCCAAAGGGAATAGAACTCTTGACCTAATACCATTATCCCCATTCCATACCACTCAGGCAATGCCTTCGTGGTGTTTGCCTTAATGAGATTCAATGAATATTGGTTATATTAAGACCTTCAGTAAAATGAAAAAGTCTACTGAAAGCTTGATCTGAGGGTTCAATGAATTTTTATGTCAGATTTCTCTTATTCTTGTTTGTGTTGGCAGTACATGTTCTAAAAAAAAAAAAGAAAAAAAAACATTGTAAGAATATTGTCAATGCTAGTACAATTATATCATGTTATAATATATCATGCATATCAGAGTATGATTATCAAGAAAACACGCATAAATCCAATATTTATGTCAATGAAAGTATGGTGGAGTATACTTTATGTTTTTAAATAGCATACATGAAACATTCCTTTTGGGTTTTGTTGATTTCGAATACGAACCACGTGAGGGGATTTAACAATGTATAATTATAAGGGCAAATGATAAATAGGCCCATGACAAGGGACTCAAATGCACGTAGGTCTAGACAAAAAATAGTGTCGCAAACAAAATCATCTACATATCTTTGGTCTAAAATTCCCCTCATAATATAATTATCATCAATTCCATCCATTATAATTTATACTCTAACTTCATCAATATTGCACATTGACCCCGGATTTAACAAATATCTCACATTAATCCCCATTTGCATATTTTTTTGAAAAAATGTTTTATTTTTAGAAAATAAAATTTTTCTGAAAATTTTTTCCGGCCAGATTCCAGCGTTGACTTCGTGGTTCTCCATGGTTGACTTTTTTTTGAAATTTTTTTCTCTCTCTAAATTATTGTGTTAACAATAAAAGTATTCTCTCAGACAGTAATATTACTGTATCATTGTCCCTAACAGTAATATTATGGTCGGAGAAAGTAATATTGCGGTCGAAGACAGCAATCTCAAACAGTTAAATTACTGAATATTAATGAAAATAATATTAAATAATATTACAGTAATATTCCATGCCAAGACAATAATATTAATGAAAATAATTTTTTTAAGGAAAAAAAGGTTTCCGAAAAAAGAGTCAATGTCGGATGACCTGCCGAAATTTTTTTTAGAAAAAAAAAGTTTTCAAGAAGAAAAAATCAACGTCAAAGACCGGCGTTAGTTTAACGACGTGCTCACCTGCCGGAAAAAAAAATTCCAAAAAAAAAAAAGAAAAATTCAACGGCTGCTGACTGGCGTTTTCCACCTGTGGTAGTCAAAATCGAAATAAGAGTCAAAATTAGTCAATTTGTGAAATTGGGCTAAACTGGAGTGTAAATCATTAAATTGGAGTTCAATAAGGGTTTCAAGGTAGACACGGCCACGGGCCGGTTCTGGGCCGGTTCAAACCGGTTCACGGTTCACATTTTCCGGAACCGGAACCGGCCCGTAGTATGGGCGGTTCAGCGGGCCGGGTCGGCCCGGAAATTTTGAATTTTTTTTTTTTTTTTTGAAATATTTTATGAATAAGTAAATTAAAAGAAGTACTTTTAAATAGAAAAAAGGAAAAGGGAATAAATGAAAAGACTTGAACTTAATTTTAAATTCAAAATTTTAAAGATTTCGAATTTAAATGATTTTTTGAAATATTTTATGAATAAGTAAATTAAAAGAAGTGATTTTAAATAGAAAAAAGAAAAAGGAAATAAATGAAAAGACTTGAACTTAATTTTAAATTCAAAATTTAAATATTTCGAATTTTAAATGATTTTTTGAAATATTTTTTGAAAAATTGGG